GAGGTGGGACTAAACAGGGTATAAAAAGCCTAGCAAACCCCTTCCTCAACCCTTTTTCTCTCTTCTTCTCCACCAACATTGAAACATGTGATCACCTTTTCTGGTCAGGGCTCAAGCCATGTGGCCCTGTCCAACAATAAACCATATTTCCAAGCAGCCTCCATGTCTCCAGTGTCTTCCACTTGGAGCTGAACCCAGAAGGACATTTCTTTCAACAACTGTAAATGACAGAGACCCAAAGTCCCATTTTTTCTGCTCACCTCAAATGCATGTAGCTTAGTCTAAATTTACCCACCAATTGATGCCAGGATTTACACAGCATATTTACAAGTACTTGTCTGAACTCGGTATCTGGTACAAACCTAGTCAATATGTTAGGAGAATCTTTAAAAGAACTTGGGAATTTTAACTAGATTTTAAAGTAAGCAGTCCATAACTGTTTTAAACTTCACTTTTAAGAAATCAGATATTATATTGCTCCTTGTAAAGTTCTGTACATGTGTGTGAGAGATAGAGAGCGCAAGCAAGTGAATATTGGCTGAGTAGATTCCTACTCAAAGTAATATTTGTGGTTATTGATGTCTGCATTTATATTCTGCTTCAGGCTAACGACTTTGGCAACGTTCATGATCGGTTTTGCCTTTTCATATCACCAGTTGAAGCATATATCTGCCGGAGAAATTCGTACAATTTGTACAATTTCAGAGGTACGAGCGAAGATCACACGTGTAGCGTGCAGAGGCGTGAATGCTTTGAACCGATAGACTTCCAGGCAGCAAAAAGCATCGGCGGATTTTTTTGCTGACGTGGTAGTTACTGATTTTTGCTGGTGTAACGCAGATTTGTGCTGTTCCCTTCGGATGAATGCCAAGTCTCGTTTGTGTGGTTCAGTGTGCCTTAAACCCGAGAATGAGCGCCAAGTACTTCGTAACAGAGTCCGCCTTGTGCATTTTTCCAGCTGCATTATTTTCCACTCCAAGCACGCCTCGGGGCAACCGAAGTGTCTCCGCAAATGCACTCAGGTCAGCTCAAGACAAGGAAGAGGCAAACTGAAGAGTGGCGAGAGAGAAGCGAGGCGAGAGAGAACCTTTGGGCCCGCTTTGCTTTTGTCAACAAGTAATTCAACAGTGGCAGACCGAAGCCAAGGTATTTGTGCTGGTGCAAGGGAAAATTCCAGGGGCGGAGGTTATGGTGGCTGAGGAAAAGGGGGAGGGAGGTGGGACCTTGACACTCCGCTCCAATCGAGCGAAGGGCGAGCGAGTCTTTATCACGCGCTGCGAACCAGCCGTCTCCCTCTTTTCGCCTTCAAGAGCTTTAGGGAACGAGTAGCTACAGCCCTACACGCGAAGCTAGAATGGCCCCGGCAGCAGCTGCAGGAACGCTCCCCCTGACTAAAGTGTTGATCAGTGATAGCCTGGACCCCTGCTGTAAGCAGATACTGGAGGCGGCCGGAATCCAAGTCCTAGAGAAATCTAATCTCAGCAAAGAACAGTTGCAGGCCGAGATCAAGGTAAGACCAAAAGAACCTGAGGTTACTTCGCTTCACCCCTCTAAGGCGTCAAATAATCCCCCGGATAAGTTTCCATGCCGGAAAGGGGGGGGGGGAACGGACAGGGGACAAAACGTTAAGCTAGGCAAGATAAGGTGATGAGCTGTGTCCCACTTTCTCCCTCCACTTCCAGCTGTGTTCATGAATTCATATCTGTATTGTAAAGAATGCCGGGACTAAAGTTAGAATATTTGCCTCATTTCATTTTAACCATTGGGGATAAGGAGAACTTCGCTATNATACTATATGTTAGGTTTTTTTCATGCAAAGGCAATACACATATATGGAATTTCTACCTTTCCCCCTTTTGCCTTCAATGAAATGGACAAGGGAATAGAGAATTGATTTTGGAAGAATGTGTCAGACCTGCCCCAGTCGGCCCCCTCAAGAAAGCAAGATTCCTGAATCCGTTTTCTAAAGAACTTTTACTGAGAGAAAGGAAAACCCCAGCAGCTACCCTCTTTTCATCACCCACATTGTGCCAGCCCTCCTCCTCACACTCCCCTGCCTCAGTGCTGCCACAGTACCTCCCACCTCACCCTCTCCCCAAGTGGGGGGAATGCCGCTGGCCGCAGAGCAGGCTGGGGAGCACGAGAATCACAGGGCAACAGCCAGAGAGGCAGGCTGGCCACCCAGGTGGAGGGCTGGCACAGTGAGGGGTGATGAGGAGGGGGCGGCTGCCAGGCCTCCTCCAGGGGGGAGCAGGCTGTGAATGGCAGCTGTGGCAATGTCCAGAAGAGGCAGCAGTGGTGACAGAGGGGCGAACAATGGACAAGGTAATGCTGGCCCGCCACCTGTGCACATGCCGGAATGGGATGAGCTGGGCCTGTGCATGCATGCACCCACCACCTCCAAACAAGCACACATGCCAGGATAGTATGTACTGGGTTGAAGTGATGCGGGCCAGCCTCTTACAATTCCCAGAACCGCAGTGCAGGCCGGAGCCAAGCATATCTAGGGCCGGATCCGGCCCATAGGCCTTGAGTTTGACACCCCTGTTCTCTTACAAGAGGAATAGAGCTAGGGATGGAGGAGGTGGGTTAGGCATTTTAGCCTTTCTCAGGTTCTTTGTTTAAAATTACTTCTTTTCTGTAGAGTTTCTGTGAGAAAGTAAGAAATATAGAGGTGATCTATGAATTGGTGTATTATCTATAACAGCCCTCCTTATAGATTCCTGATACCTGTCTGGTCTAGGAACAGGAACAGAGGACACATTTCTAAGCTTTTGATTGTAGTTCTCTGGGCAGCTTTGTGTTCCCTTATCCAATTGCTGATTGGATTTTGATTTCTTCAGGATGTTGATGGGCTCATTGTACGCTCAGCAACCAAGGTGACTGCAGAGATCATCAATGCAGCGGAAAAGTTGCAGATCATTGGAAGAGCCGGAACCGGAGTTGACAATGTAGATGTGGAGGCTGCTACAAGGAAAGGAATCCTAGTCATGAAGTAAGTCAGCAAGAGATTGCCAGAGAGCAAAAGCATTCCCTGCTTTTACATGGAAGGGAATGCAGAGATCACCAGGCACCTAATTCCAAAGCAGGCCTGTCTTGTCTGATCTTCAACTCCTGGATTTGTTAATAAAGCAGAGGAGCAAAATTTTAGGAGCAAAGAATTGGCAGGCTTCTTTCTGAAAGACATTTGCGGAAAGGATGAGCACATATGATACTAGGATTCGGTAGGAACAATCCAGTGACGTGCGGTGAGGTTTATGACTGGTGAGGCACTGACACAGTGGTGGGTTTCATAGTTTTTTAGACTTGTGGACTTCAACTCCCAGAATTTCACAGCCAAGCATTCTCAGTTCCGATTTAAAGCGACAGCATTTGTTTTTCTCCTTTGCGAAAAAGTTTCCTTCATTCTTTTTCTTCTCACTCCCACTCCTTCCTCCCTCTCTCAAACAGACACAAACACAGAAGCTGGATTGGATATATTTTCCAATGGCTTGAAAGCAGATCTTCTGCCATACCCTCTCCCATTCCGCTGCTGCCTTCCTCCACCATTGCAAATGCAGCCTGCTGTCTGGGTGGGAAATGCCTGAAATGCAATAAAGCCCACCCACCCACTCACCTCCT